AACCACATGGTGGCTTACAACCATCTGTAATGAGATCTGGTGCCCTCTTCTGGCCTGCAGTCATACATGCTGTATACATAATAAATAAATAAATCTTAAAAAAAAAAAAAAAGATTACCATATAAAAGAAGCCTGTTGACAAAGGAAGACTGGGAACCTCTGGCCATTGGCTACATGTAATAAAACAAGAGCGTTTCCTAACAAGAAAAACAAAAAACAAATGCCTAAACCTCAAGCTCTCTAAATGAGGAAGAAGGAGAGTGTTATATGTTACCTATAAAGAATCCAGACTGTCAAGGCCAGAGGGCCTGGGACCTGTGCCAGCTCTCTAGCCCACTTCATTCTCAGTGTGCCTTTCTTTTCTTAATAAACTGTCTATTTCTATCACTATCCTTGTGTTGCTAGTCCAGTTCTTTATTCTGGGACACAAGAGCCCGGAAATCTCAGTTGGTGCCCCCTGGACTCATGCCTATTAACCTAGGGACTGCTGGACCCTTCAGGCACTCATGGCCTACATTTCCCTGTCAGATTCCTCAGCTCAATAATGGAAGATGGGTTTAGAACACGTTAGTACAGGAGTAGTGTAACTACTCCTTTAGACTAGATACATACTCATAAAACGTCAGGCTAGGGAGCACTTGCAAAGCCATAAAAATCTCAGCTTACAGATTAAGGAACTGTGAGTTAAAGCAACAATGTTATACCAAGGTAGCAAAAAAATAAATTTCCTAATTTCCTACAGTATGCCTGTTACCAAACCATGATGTCGTTGAAAAATCACTGCTGAGAAATCTTTGTGGGAATTCTCTGAGTATCTACCTTTAGGGCCTTCCCTCTCCCCTTCAGTCCTATTTACTGACATAGTTTTCCTAAGACTCGTGGTAGTTACTTGCTCATGTCAAGTGTGTTATATTACTGAACGAAAAAATGTCTTATATTATCCCATATTATGGAATTTAAAACTTGACTACATATGTTCTTATGCTGTCTTCTACACTGTATCTCTTCAACATGACTAAATAAACTCTGAGCAGAATTGATACACAGTGATAAAAAAATAAACCCCTAAACAACCAAAAACTAAATACAGTTACAGAGCTTTGGGTTGAGTCTGAGCTCTACTACAGACTCATTGCATGATTTTTCAACTAAGTTACTTATTTCTTTGGATCTTTCCTTATTTACAAAATGAGAATCATAACCATCACTATCACCATCTACCCTATTTATGAGAGGGTTTTTTTTAAAAAGATTTATTTATTTATTATGGATACAGAAGAGGGTGCCAGATCTCATTACAGATGGTTGTGAGCCACCATGTGGGTGCTGGGAATTGAACTCAGGACCTCTGGAAGAGCAGTCAGTGTTCTTCACCTCTGAGCCATCTCTCCAGCCCTGAGAGGGTTTTTTTTAATGCAAATGAACCAGAGTACTATAAATGTCAATAATTTATTATTATCATCATCACAATTCCTTCAACCTTCAGGGAGCTATATTAATTCTACCAATACTTCACACTCCCCTTTTATCCTTGTCCTCAATCTCTTCAGTAATCAACGCTCTTGATCCCTCCTTATAATTTCTTTGCTTCTCTTTCCATTTCTCTTGTTTACTTGGCAAAACCACAACCTCCAGCTAAGTCTAGTGTTCTGCCTACTCTACCTGTCCTCACGTGATAATAGCTATGCAAGGTAGAGGGAAAGCTGCAGATCGCCTTTCCTGGGCCTTCACACAGGCCACTCACAATGCCCAACCATCTTATTGACCTAGTCCAGGACTTTCTCGTGCTCTTTGTCAACAATCTCTGATCTCTCTTTAAATCTCCAAAACTTCATGAGGAAATACAATCGAAAGAGATCCGGTGCCACATTTACCAATGCACCTGCCTCCACAGCCACATTCTCTGGTACTGGAGAGTACAGGCAGTTCTCTTAATAATTTATAGCAGCCTTCTTCTCTAGGCACACACCCTTTTACCCACCTGGAACATTGCTTCAACAACTGTGCCCTCTCCACAGAAGTGGTTTCATCCTTCCCTGCGAGAATCATTTCCACTATCTCAGGAAAAAGGTAAAAGGTGTCATGATTCCATCTTCATCTTTGACTAGGGCTCAGCTTTTCAATTCCTCTTCAGTTAAGCTTCAGTTTCTATAGCACTGTGCTTATTGGTTTTGTCTTTTCCCATATGAAGGTCCTTTCATCGGGCTGCTCCCCACTACTTCTGGGATACTGTATCAAAGGCTGTGAAGACTCCAGTGCTGCTACCTAGTTCTTCAGCCTTACTGTGATCTCTCAGGAACATTTTACAGTGGTCTATTATTGGCACACCTTCATTGTGTCACCTTCATTGACACACTTTCTTGATAGGCTTTGGCATTCACTCTCAATTTCCCACTTGGTATTGCTTTTCCAGATTCCATTGCTGTTTTTTTCCCTATTCTCTAAGCCCTAGAATGTTCCAATGCTCAGTTCTCAGATAGACTGTTTCTACACCCACCATTGGATCAAAGCCATCTACTTGCTGCAATTTCCAAATGTCAGCCCCCAGCCTAACCCTATCTGAGGAACCCAAGTCCTATGCCCAACTCTCCATTATTAAGCATTTCAAACCTAGTATGTTAAAAATGGAACTTCCAGCCAGCCATAGTGGCTTGCATCTGTCATCTCAGCATTTGACTAAGACAGGATTGTTGCCAGTTTGACACAGTGACTACCAGGCCAGCCTAGTATACAAGATGAGACTCTGTCTCAACTCTTATCTACCTCCAAAATTTGGCCTTCTAATATTCCTCAGACTCATTTTTTCCTACAATCTTTCCCATCTTAATTATGGCTATAACATCCTTCCTATGTCAAAGGCAACTATTCTCAGATTCAATATTTAATCTATCGGCAAATTCTGTCAGTGAAAGAGTTCAAAATATCTGTTCCTTATCTTCCCTGGTGTTCTCTAATTTCATTGTGTATTTATGTGTCTGTATGTATGAACTGTGTGCATGTTACTGTGTGTGTGTGTGTGTGTGTCTGAGAACAACTTGCTGGGGTCAATTTTCCCCTTCTACTATGTTCCTATTAAGAATTGACCTCAGGTCACTGGGCTTGGGCTTGGCAGCAAATACACCATCTCACTATCCCATAATTGCATTGATTTTTATACCCTTTATGATTCCATTCAACAATCTATTCACAAAAGTGAGGTCAGAAAGCAGGATAGGATGTAAATCAAGGTAGGCTGTACTTCTCTGCATGAAATCACTGTCTACCCACTCAGAGTAAAAACCAATTTCCTTTATGATGGCCCCTTAGCCTAAGTTACAATTTGGTTCTTGGATAATTCCAAAGCTTTGGTCTTAGGTTGTAATGCTACTTGGGAGGTTGTAGAATTCTTAAGAAATAAGGCCAAGAGAGAGAACTTAGGTCACTGGTGACATGACTTTGAAGGGACTACAGGACTCTCTTCTCTGTTTGCTTCCTGGCCAAAGATAGCAGCTTGCTCTAACATGTGTCTCTGTCATAAGGTACTTCCTTACTATAGCTTAAAACAACAGGACCAACTGAAACCTCTAAACTGTGATCCTAAATAAGTCGCTTTTCCCCTCTTGTTTTTTCTCTCTTCATGGTGCTGAGGGTTGGACCGAGGGCTGGTGTTCTCTTTTCCCTTATTCACAAACATAGCCTGGTATTCCTGAACCTCCTGTCATTATCACACTTCAATCTTGTCCATTTTGTTGTCACACTGGCTTTAAACACGGCCAGGCACATACCTGCCTCAGGCTCTTAATTTTAGTTGTTCTTTCTGGACACACGTGCCTTCTCCCAGTGTTGCCATTCCTTATTCTTTATTCAAGTGTGTATCCACATGTCACATTGTTGAGAAGCTGCTCCCCACCTCCTCTCCTAGCAAGCACTCACATTCTTCTTTCTCCTTGTCGGGTTTCACTGGTGTCACTGGTCTTATAAGCACTCACACCATTTCTGTGGACTGTCTGCACTCACTTCCTGCAATGGAACTGCCACCAGCACAGGGACCCTTTCATTCTCATTTCTTTTCCCTTCTGTGGGGTTTTGAATGGGAAGTATCTCCATAGGCTCAGAAATAGTTAGTGGTGCTGTCTGGGAGGTTTAGGAGGTGTACCTTTGCTGGGGGAAGTGTGTCAGTGGGGGTGGGCTCTGAGAGATTACAGCTTTGCCCCAGCCCCAGTCTGATCTCTCTGCTTGTGTCTGAAGAGATAAGCATTCAGCTGTCTGCTCCTGCTAACACGTCTGTCACTCGCTGCCATGTTTCCCCCATGATGGACTTTTATCCCTCTTGAATCATAGGCCCAAACAAACTCTTCTATAACTGCCTTGGACAAGGTGTTTTTTTTAATCAGCAATACAAAAGTAACCAATGCACCTCCTTACTGCCATGCTATAGTCACAGTATTTAGAATACTGCTTAGCACCTAAAGAGCAATCAATAAATATGTTCATTACTTGATT